GTCTAGAACAGGGAATGGCTCCGACTCCCGGCCACGTGAGTTTTACCCGGCCCCGCTCACCATCATGAAGGTCCTTAATGAGCGTGAGCAGAGGGTCAGGGACTCCGAAAGCACGAAGAACGACCCAGAGCCCAGGCCTACTGATGGTATCATAGGCCTTGACCGGGTCAATAAAGCAGAGATGTAGGTCTTGTTTGAATTCTCTACACCTCTGCTGTAGCAGACGGACAGAAAATATGGAATCTGTGCAGGACCGCCCTTTCCTGAAGCCGCATTGGGGCTCCGCAAGCCTCTCCTCAGAGTGCCTGGCAAGGCGATGTTGAGTGGGTGAGTGAGTGGGTGATTGTGTGTGCGGGTAAGTGGGGGGGTGAGTGGGTGTTCTTGTGTGGGTGGGTGAGTGAGTGGGTGGATGAGTGAGTGGGTGGGTGAGTGAGTGGGTGGGCGAGTGAGTGGGTGGGCGAGTGGGTGAGTGAGTGGGTGGGCGAGTGGGTGAGTGAGTGGGTGGGCGAGTGGGCGAGTGAGTGGGTGATTGTGTGTGCGGGTAAGTGGGCGGGTGAGTGGGTGAGTGAGTGGGTGGGTGAGTGAGTGGGTGATTGTGTGTGCGGGTAAGTGGGTGGTTGAGTGAGTCGGTGGGTGAGTGAGTGAGTCGGTGGGTGAGTGAGTGAGTGGGTGGGCGGGTGAGTCAGTGGGTGAGTGAGTGGGTGAGTGAGTGAGTGGGTGAGTGAGTGAGTGGGTAGGTGAGTTTGGGGATGAGAGGAGGTATGGGGGGCTAACACTGAACGATCCCGACAGATGGAATCCAGAATCCCATTTTCTATACCTGCCATGCTAACACCAGTTTGCTTACAACATTTACAAGAGTTTTTTTATAATTTGTATACATATCCAGAGTCGGATCATTGAGATTCACGGGCCTAGCAGCAATAAATCCCTACAGCTACGGCAAATGCAAAGGTCCTCCGTGTAGCCTCTAACAGGCAGCTGGGGCAAGTGGCCTGTTAGTAGCGCGTAGCAGCAGCGCCTACGAACACGAGTAAGGGTGGGTGAACAGCACCACGCTACGCCCGGCCGCCTTTGTCTCTCCCGAGTGACGATGTTTTACACCGCTACAACGAGCTATACATCGTTTCGAGGCTGAGTCAACCTAGGGGCGGGTGAGGGAGGAGGCCCCAGGTGACCGGTTCGGAATCGAGAGTGCTTTAGAATGGGTGGTGCTTGTTGTTGTTGTGTTGTTGTTGTGTTGAGTGTTTGTTGTCCTTTTGGCGCACCTCCGATTAGCGGGACGGTTGGCTACGTACGGTGGTGCGAAATAAGTTCAACAGACACACACACAGACAGACAACCACACTGCCCATAAACTCAACACTGCACCATAGACTCAACACTGCCCATAAACTCAACAATGCACCATAGACTCAACACTGCACCATAGACTCAACACTGCCCACAGACTCAACACTGTACCATAGACTCAACACTGCACCATAGACTCAACACTGCCCATAAACTCAACACTGCACCATAGACTCAACAGTGCCCATAGACTCAACACTGCACCATAGACTCAACACTGCACCATAGACTCAACACTGCCCACAGACTCAACACTGTACCATAGACTCAACACTGCACCATAGACTCAACACTGCCCATAAACTCAACACTGCACCATAGACTCAACAGTGCCCATAGACTCAACACTGCACCATAGACTCAACACTGCCCATAGACTCAACACTGCCCATAGACTCAACACTGCACCATAGACTCAACACTGCCCATAGACTCAACACTGCCCACAGACTCAACACTGCACCATAGACTCAACACTGCACCATAGACTCAACACTGCCCATAGACTCAACACTGCCCACAGACTCAACACTGCACCATAGACTCAACACTGCACCATAGACTCAGCACTGCACCATAGACTCAACACTGCCCATAGACTCAACACTGCCCACAGACTCAACACTGCCCATAGACTCAACACCGCTGGTACCAGTCATCGGCAAGTCCACTCAGCTCCACGTCCTCCCGTGCCACATCACTCCATCTCTTTTCCAGACACACTCACATACAGACACACCGACGCACTCACACATACACACACAAAGATCAAAGATCCCCCGTGTAGCCTTAACAGACTGTAGGGGCAAGTGCTGTTAGCGAGCACCTATGAAGGCCAGAACGGTACACGAGGGGGTGGGTGGCTAGCACCACGCCCGACCGCCTTTGTCTCCCTAGTGGCGATGTTTACATACCGCACCAGGTACTCATTTGAGGCTGAGTCGACCTAGGGGAGGCCCGGGACCGGTTCAGATAATCGTCACTGGTGTTGGCCGTGAGCGGGAATCGAACCCGAGTCGCCAGGTTCATAGCGCAGCGTAGCGCTAACCGCTACACTACCGCTCACACATACACACACAGATACACACACACATACACACACAGACACACACTCACACACACTCACACACTCACACACTCACACATACACACACACACACCGACACACTCACACATACACACACAGACACACACATACACACACTCACACATACACACACAGACACACCGACACACTCACACATACACACACACCGACACACTCACACCGACACACACAGACACACCGAAACACTCACACCGACACACACAGACACACCGACACACTCACACATACACACACAGACACACCGACACACTCACACCGACACACACAGACACACCGACACACTCACACATACACAGACACCCCGACACACACACACACTCACACATACACACACACACACACACCGACACACTCACACCGACACACACAGACACACCGACACACTCACACATACACACACAGACACACCGACACACTCACACCAACACACACAGACACACCGACACACTCACACCGACACACACAGACACACCGACACACACATGCTCATTGGGTAGCATTAGGCAGACATCGCTTCACGTGTGTGGACACACACCGGGTGTGCAAGGTGAACTAAAATAACACCAGTTCCATCCAGCAGTGGATCGTGAACAAGCGCCTGGTGGTGATGGTGATGATGGTGGTGGTGGTGATGATGGTGGTGGTGATTGTGGTGGTGGTGATGGTGGTGGTGATGGTGGTGGTGATGGTGATGATGATGGTGGTGGTGATGATGGTGGTGGTGATGGTGGTGGTGATGGTGGTGGTGGTGATGATGGTGGTGATGGTGGTGGTGGTGATGGGTTAATTCAGCTTGCAGGGCCACCGCCCACCAATTCCCCCCCCCCCCCCACTGATCCCCATCCCCACTATCCGCCCCCCCCCCATCCGCCTCTCCATCCACCCCCCCATCCGCCCCCCCATGCGCCCCCCTATCCCCCCCCCCCCCCCCACAAACTCGCAATGCAGATTGCGAGGTGAGCGGATGGGAGTCTGCAAGTTCCATTCATGTTCCGTGCGGGCTCGCCCCGGTGTCAATTCACGTTGCAGGGCGCGCGCGCGGTCGACGATGCAGATTCCAGGGCCGCACCCCTTCCCCCACCCACCCCCCCAACCATTGTGACGTATGCATTCAGGTCACCCCAGGGCGTCGAGACGAGACGGCAATGCAGGTTTCGGGGCCGCTGCACACGTGGTGATGGTATTCAGATTTCGGGGCACCCCACGTGGTGATGTTATTCAGATTTCAGGCCCGCCACCCCACAACGTGGTGATGGTATTCAGCTTCCAGGGCACCCCACGTGGTGATGGTATTCAGCTTCCAGGGCCCCCCACGTGGTGACGGTATTCAGCTTCCAGGGCACCCCACGTGGTGATGGTATTCAGGTTCCCGGCCCCCCACGTGGTGATGGTATTCAGCTTCCAGGGCCCCCACGTGGTGATGGTATTCCGCTTCCAGGGCCCCCAGGTCGTCATGGTATTCAGCTTCCAGGACGCCCCACGTGGTGATGGTATTCAGCTTCCAGGGCGCCCCACGTGGTGATGGTATTCAGCTTCCAGGGCCTCCAGGTAGTGATGGTATTCAGCTTCCAGGGCCCCCAGGTCGTGATGGTATTCAGCTTCCAGGGCCCCACACGTGGTGATGGTATTCAGCTTCCAGGGCCCCCAAGTAGTGATGTATTCAGCTTCCAGGGCCCCGCGCGTGGTGATGGTATTCAGCTTCCAGGGGCCCCCCGGGTAGTGATGGTATTCAGCTTCCAGGGCACCCCACGTGGTGATGGTATTCAGCTTCCAGGGCCCCCAGGTCGTGATGGTATTCAGATTCCAGGGCCCCCAGGTCGTGATGGTATGCAGCTTCCAGGGTACCCCCCGTGGTGATGGTATTCAGCTTCCAGGGCCCCCCAGGTCGTGATGGTATTCAGCTTCCAGGGCCCCCCACGTGGTGATGGTATTCAGCTTCCAGGGCACCTAGGTCGTGATGGTATTCAGCTACTAGAGCCACCAGGTCGTGATGGTATTCAGCTTCCAGGGCCCCCACGTGGTGGTGGTATTCATCTTCCAGGGCCCCCAGGTCGTGATGGTATTCAGATTCCAGGGCCCCCAGGTCGTGATGGTATTCAGCTTCCAGGGTACCCCCCCCCCCGTGATGATGGTATTCAGCTTCCAGGGGCCCCCAGGTCGTGATGGTATTCAGGTTCCAGGGGCCTCCCACGTGGTGATGGTATTCAGCTTCCAGGGGCCTCCCACGTGGTGATGGTATTCAGCTTCCAGGGCACCCCACGTGGTGATGGTATTCAGCTTCCAGGGCACCCCACGTGGTGATGGTATTCAGCTTCCAGGGCACCCCACGTGGTGATGGTATTCAGCTTCCAGGGCACCCCACGTGGTGATGGTATTCAGCTTCCAGGGCACCCCACGTGGTGATGGTATTCAGGTTCCCGGCCCCCCACGTGGTGATGGTATTCAGCTTCCAGGGCCCCCAGGTCGTGATGGTATTCAGCTTCCAGGGCCCCCCACGTGGTGATGGTATTCATCTTCCAGGGCACCTAGGTCGTGATGGTATTCAGCTTCCAGGGCCCCCACGTGGTCATGGTATTCAGCTTCCTGGCCCCCAGGTGGTGATGGTATTCAGCTTCCAGGGCTCCCCACACGTGGTGATGGTATTCAGCTTCCAGGGCCCCCACGTGGTGATGGTATTCCGCTTCCAGGGCCCCCAGGTGGTGATGGTATTCAGCTTCCAGGGCGCCCCACGTGGTGATGGTATTCAGCTTCCAGGGCCCCCAGGTAGTGGTGGTATTCAGCTTCCAGGGCCCCCACGTGGTGATGGTATTCAGCTTCCAGGGCCCCCAGGTCGTGATGGTATTCAGCTTCCAGGGGCCCCAGGTACTGATGGTATTCAGCTTCCAGGGCCCCACACGTGGTGATGGTATTCAGCTTCCAGGGCCCCCACGTGGTGATGGTATTCAGCTTCCATGGCCCCAAGGTCGTGATGGTATTCAGCTTCCAGGGCCCCCACGTGGTGATGGTATTCAGCTTCCAGGGTCCACCCCCCCCCCCCCCAGGTGATGATGGTATTCAGCTTCCAGGGCACCCCACGTGGTGATGGTATTCAGCTTCCAGGGCCCCCAAGTAGTGATGTATTCAGCTTCCAGGGCCCCGCGCGTGGTGATGGTATTCAGCTTCCAGGGGCCCCCCAGGTAGTGATGGTATTCAGCTTCCAGGGCCCCCAGGTCGTGATGGTATTCAGCTTCCAGGGCACCCCACGTGGTGATGGTATTCAGCTTCCAGGGCACCCCACGTGGTGATGGTATTCAGCTTCCAGGGCCCCCACGTGATGATGGTATTCAGCTTCCAGGGCACCCCACGTGGTGATGGTATTCAGGTTCCCGGCCCCCCACGTGGTGATGGTATTCAGCTTCCAGGGCCCCTAGTGATGGTTTTCAGCTTCCAGGGCCCCCAGGTCGTGATGGTATTCAGCTTCCAGGGTACCCCTCGTGGTGATCGTATTCAGCTTCTAGGGCACCCCACGTGGTTATGGCATTCAGCTTCCAGGGCACCCCACGTGGTTATCGCATTCAGCTTCCAGGGCCCCCACAGCTGGCCAGGTGACAATGCAGGGTTCGGGGCGGCGGTGGTGGTGGGGGGCCCCTAGGGGAGGTTCTGTTTGATGGCCATGCCCGTGGGGGGCCCCATGCCGTGCATGGCGGCGTGAGGGCCCTGGCCCCCCAGCCCGGACGTGGAGAAGTCGGGGCGTGGGGGGCGACCGTTCTCACCCACGGGGAGGCACGCCGGGGGGGGCGGCGGCGGCTTGGTGCCCAGCGGGTCGGCGTACAGCAGCTGGGTAGGGGGGGGGGGCATGGGGGGGAGGAGGGGGGGCATGGAGGGGGGGGGCACATGGGGAGACGTGGGCACACCACGGGGGGAGACACGGGGAGATGGCAACACGCGTGTACACTCACACACACACACGCGTGTACACACACACACACACACGCGTGTACACACACACACACACACGTGTACACACACACACACACGCGTGTACACACACACACACACGCGTGTACACACACACACGTGTACACACACACTCACGCGTACACACACACTCACGCGTACACACACACTCACGTGTACACACACACACTCGCGTGTACACACACACAACAACAACAACCGACATTCGCCACTAAGTGGCGGTGACGTCACCACGACGCTTGTGCCAGGCCACACACACACACCCACACACACAGCTACACACACAGCTACACACACACAGCTCTACACACACACCTACACACACACAGCTACACACAGCTCTACACACACACACCTACAACAACAACAACCGCCATTCGCCACTAAGTGGCGGTGACGTCACCACGACGCTTGTGCCAGGCTATGTGCACCCTGAGGCCACGTGAAGTGTCGAACGCCCGCTGGCAGGAGGTCACGGGACAGACCCAGGTGCCACGGGTCGACTGACTGAGATGACTGGCTGATGCTCCACCTGTGCCCCCTACTGTGGCAACCTGCTGTGCTTTAGCCACCCGGCGCTCCGCTCGTTGTTCTGAGCGTCGCTCCTCCGCCCTCCGTTGTTGTTGGAGGGCGACTGCCTCCAACTGCCCAGTAGCGTCCTTCACGAGCCTCCTCCACAGAGGCCGATGTTGAGACCGCTGGTACCGGTCATCGGCAAGTCCACTCAGCTCCACGTCCTCCTGTACCACATCACTCCATCTCTTCTCTAGCCCGTGCCGCGCCCGCTTAGCCCCCTCAATCCGGCCGAACAAAAGCTGTTTCGGCATGCGGTGGCTGGGCATGCGGGCTACATGACCCAGCCATTGCAGCCTTCCCCGCCGGAGGAGCTCACCGATGGGACCTTGCCCAGATCTTTCAAGGATTTGTGAGCTCCTCACACAATCCAGTCTGGTTAAACCCAGGATGGATCGTAGGCAGGCCAGCCTAAATGTTTCTAAACGGCGAAGATGTTCCATTAGGGGGGTCCACGTTTCGCAAGCGTAGACAAGGGAGGGAATGACCGTGGCCGAGAAGACCTGAAGCTTAGTGCGGAGCGACAGACCAGGTAGCTTCCACACAGCATTACGCAACCGATGAAAAGATATTGCCGCTCGACTGATTCGGAGTGAGACCTCTGCTGTTAAACTGGAGCCAGTCATAAGCACACTGCCCAGGTATGGGAAACTCTCCACTCTCTCCACAACTGCCCCATCACCGATTGGGAGTTGTGGGGGTGGAGTGTCCGATGGTACAAAATACCCAGGCAGGTGCTTAGTTTTGGTGGGGCTGATGGTAAGGCCCCACCTCTTAGTGGCACGCTCCAGTCTCAGCAGCAGCGTCTCCAACTCCTCCTCTGACTGAGCAGCTATTACCAAATCATCAGCATACATAACGTGGTTAAGCAATAAGGAGCCATCCCTTGACCGCACCCGGGCATCGCTCAGCCTCCCATTATATCTGTACCATATGGAGATTCCCCCGGTACAGCTATTGAAGGCTTCACGAACTACGTGGTCAAAATAGATGTTAAATAATGTGGGAGCCAGAGGACATCTCTGTCGCACCCCAAGGTGTACAGGGAATGGCTCTGACTCCCGGCCACGTAGTTTTACCCGGGCCTGCTCACCATCATGAAGGTCCTTAATGATCGTGAGCAGAGGGTCAGGTACTCCAAAAGCACGAAGAACAACCCAGAGCCCAGGCCTACTGATGGTATCATAGGCCTTGACCAGGTCAATAAAGCAGAGATGTAGGTCTTGTTGGAATTCCCTACACCTCTGCTGTAGCAGAGAGACAGAAAATATGGCATCTGTGCAGGACCGCCCTTTCCTGAAACCGCATTGGTGCTCCGCAAGCCTCTCCTCAGCGTGCCTGGCAAGGCGATGTTGAATAATCCTTGCCAGGACCTTTCCCGGGAGACTGAGGAGTGAGATGCCCCTGTAGTTGTTACAGTCTGTGCGGTCCCCCTTCTTCAAGAGGGGGACCACCAGGGCATTCTTCCAGTCCTGCGGAACCCGTCCAGTGGTCCAGACTGTTGTTATGATGTCATATAGGGCAGTCTGTGCACAAACGCCGCCCTCCCTCAGCATTTCGCTTGGGAGATCATCTCTGCCCGCTGCCTTTCCTGGTCTCAGACTCCGGATTGCCTTCAGTACTTCCTCAACAGATGGCACCTCAGCCAGCCACTCACAGGGGGTGACTTCTTCCAATATTTGAGGCACTGCAGCCTCAGCAGGGTCATCCTCACTTTGTGCCACGATGTTTTCCTGGCTGAGGGAATTTCCCTCCCCCAGGACCTCACAGAAATGCTCAGCACATCTGCAAATCTGTTCCTGGGGGTCGGAGATTGGGTCACCGTTTTTTCCCCTAATGATGGTAATAGGTGTGGCGCTGCAGATTACTTTTTTGATGGAGTTAAATAGAGATTTGTGATCACGGGCCACTGAGGCAGACTCCATCTCCTCAGCAACCCGCGACCACCACCCATCCTTGCAGCGCCTCACGGCTCTCCGAACCTCCGAGCGAAGGCTGCGGTAAGCCTCCTCATTCTCTGACGTGGGATTCTGTAGCCGATGACAGTGGGCCTGTCGCTTTTTCTCAACCATCCTGAACACCTCCTCTGTCAGCCAGGGTCTCTGGGGAGGTCTGGACCGCGTACCCAAAGCAGCTATTGCAGCTGCATGAGTCACAGTCCTAAACCTCGACCATTTACCCTCGACATCAGGAGGAGTCGGGGACGATGCCAATCCCAGCCGCAAGCGATGATGAAATTCTCGCTTCCAACTTTCATCAGATAACTGAGACCAGACCACTTTAGGTTGGAATGGGGTCCTGGGTGTACACCCACCACCGGAGTGGAAGAATGGCAGGCGCATCTTACAGATGACTAGTCGATGGTCAGAGGGCAGATCAGCTCCATGGTAGGTCTTGGTGTCAAGGACATGGGCTCGCATCCGCTGGTCCGTCACTATGTAGTCCAGCAGATGTTCTTGCTTGGACCCGGCATGCATCCATCCATGATGTTGTGTGGATGCGCCGATGCCGGAACAGCGTGTTGGTAATTACAAGCCCATGGGATGCACAAAAATCTAGCAGCCTCCTACCGTTGTTATTGAGCTGATCTGGCTCTTGCCCTCCAATCACTGCAGACCAGGTGCCAGTATCATGACCAACTCAGGCATTGAAGTCACCCAACATGATGACTCTATCCCGAGGGGCCACTTTAGCCAGCACCTGTGATAGGAGGTCATAGAAGGCATCTGACTCATCGGCTTTGCCTGCATCCCTCCACGGATGTTCATCTTCGGTGGGGGCATAGGTAACCACGACCACCATTCCTCGCCTCCGGTTGATGGGAAGGTGAGCCCAAAGTAGCCTGGGGCTTACAGCTTCCCACACCTCACCGCCACGCTCCCACGCCCCCTTCATTCTTTTGTTCAAAAGAAGAGCCACACCCTGTTGTTTGGCAGTCTGCTGCCCCGAGTAGAGGACATTCCACCCTTCATGGTTGCAGGAGCCAGAGCCGGTCCACCGGACCTCCTGAATGCCACATAGATCCAGGCGGTACCGGTCCAGCTCCCGACAGAGGAGTGGCAGCCTCTCCTCCGCAGTGACAGCCTCTCCTCCGCAGTGAGCGTTCGAACATTCCACGTGGCCACCCGTAGTGGTTTTTCGTTGTTTCTGGAGGAGCCCCGAGGGTAGAAATTCAATCTCCTGGCTCCGCCAATTGGGGTTTGGCCAGGAGACGTCATAGACGCCTGGCCCCCCGGGGCCTCCGGCACAAGCTTATTAGTTATATACTTAATTCGCGGTTTAGTGGTAATTAATTGAAGGTGGAGGGGTTACCAGCCCCTCGCACCCGTCCAGAGCCCCCGTTTAGCCCCCTGTGGTGGACACATATGCCATGAGGGGAGGAGCCAATCACAATTGGACCTCCCCCCACAGCACTGTCCACGGCAGAGTTGCCCGTCCGGCACCGCGAGGAGGTAGGGTACGCGTACACACACACACGCTCTCGCGCGTACACACAGACTCTCGCGCATACACACACACTCACGCGCGTACACACACACACGCTCGCGCGTACACACACACACACACACGCTCGCGCGTACACACACACACACACGCTCGCGCGTACACACACACACGCTCGCGCGTACACACACACACGCTCGCGCGTACACACACACACGCTCGCGCGTACACACACACTCACGTACACACACACACACACACACACTCACGTACACACACACACACTCACGTACACACACACACACTCACGTACACACACACACACACACTCACGTACACACACACACACTCACGTATGTGTTCCCCATGCGCTTGGCCTCCGCCCGGGACTTGTAGCAGAATTCGACGAGCGCCACAAGCATGGCGAGTCCCAGACCTCCCACCAGGATGTAGAACACTCCCGCCACGTTACTCAGACTCAGAGCACTCGTCTTGTCCTGCCACCACCATCATCAGAAGGACCAGGATGTAGAACACTTCCGCCACGTTACTCAGACTCAGAGCACTCGTCTTGTCCTGCCACCACCATCATCAGAAGGACCAGGATGTAGAACACTCCCGCCACGTTACTCAGACTCAGAGCACTCGTCTTGTCCTGCCACCACCATCATCAGAAGGACCAGGATGTAGAACACTCCCGCCACATTACTCAGACTCAGAGCACTCGTCTTGTCCTGCCACCACCAGCATCAGCAGGGGCAGCAGCAGCAGCAGCAGCAGAAGGAGCATCAGCATCGTCATCAGAAGGAGCAACACCATCATCAGCAGGACCAGGATGTAGAACACTCCCGCCACGTTACTCAGACTCAGAGCACTCGTCTTGTCCTGCCACCACCATCATCAGAAGGACCAGGATGTAGAACACTCCCGCCACGTTACTCAGACTCAGAGCACTCGTCTTGTCCTGCCACCACCATCATCAGAAGGACCAGGATGTAGAACACTCCCGCCACGTTACTCAGACTCAGAGCACTCGTCTTGTCCTGCCACCATCATCAGAAGGACCAGGATGTAGAACACTCCCGCCACGTTACTCAGACTCAGAGCACTCGTCTTGTCCTGCCACCACCATCATCAGAAGGACCAGGATGTAGAACACTCCCGCCACATTACTCAGACTCAGAGCACTCGTCTTGTCCTGCCACCACCATCATCAGAAGGACCAGGATGTAGAACACTCCCGCCACGTTACTCAGACTCAGAGCACTCGTCTTGTCCTGCCACCACCAGCATCAGAAGGACCAGGATGTAGAACACTCCCGCCACATTACTCAGACTCAGAGCACTCGTCTTGTCCTGCCACCACCATCATCAGAAGGACCAGGATGTAGAACACTCCCGCCACGTTACTCAGACTCAGAGCACTCGTCTTATCCTGCCACCACCAGCATCAGAAGGACCAGGATGTAGAACACTCCCGCCACGTTACTCAGACTCAGAGCACTCGTCTTGTCCTGCCATCACCATCATCAGAAGGACCAGGATGTAGAACACTCCCGCCACATTACTCAGACTCAGAGCACTCGTCTTGTCCTGCCACCACCAGCATCATCAGAATCATCATCAGTAGCATCACCATCATCAGAAGGACCAGGATGTAGAACACTCCCGCCACGTTACTCAGACTCAGAGCACTCGTCTTGTCCTGCCACCACCAGCATCATCAGAATCATCATCAGTAGCATCACCATCATCAGCAGGACCAGGATGTAGAACACTCCCGCCACGTTACTCAGACTCAGAGCACTCGTCTTGTCCTGCCACCACCAGCATCATCAGAATCATCATCAGTAGCATCACCATCATCAGCAGGACCAGGATGTAGAACACTCCCGCCACGTTACTCAGACTCAGAGCACTCGTCTTGTCCTGCCACCACCAGCATCATCAGAATCGTCATCAGTAGCATCACCATCATCAGCAGGACCAGGATGTAGAACACTCCCGCCACGTTACTCAGACTCAGAGCACTCGTCTTGTCCTGCCACCACCATCATCAGAAGGACCAGGATGTAGAACACTCCCGCCACGTTACTCAGACTCAGAGCACTCGTCTTGTCCTGCCACCACCAGCATCAGAAGGACCAGGATGTAGAACACTCCCGCCACGTTACTCAGACTCAGAGCACTCGTCTTGTCCTGCCACCACCAGCATCATCAGAAGGACCAGGATGTAGAACACTCCCGCCACGTTACTCAGACTCAGAGCACTCGTCTTGTCCTGCCACCACCATCATCAGAAGGACCAGGATGTAGAACACTCCCGCCACGTTACTCAGACTCAGAGCACTCGTCTTGTCCTGCCACCACCAGCATCAGAAGGACCAGGATGTAGAACACTCCCGCCACGTTACTCAGACTCAGAGCACTCGTCTTGTCCTGCCACCACCATCATCAGAATCATCATCAGTAGCACCACCATCATCAGAAGGACCAGGATGTAGAACACTCCCGCCACGTTACTCAGACTCAGAGCACTCGTATTGTCCTGCCATCACCATCATCAGAAGGACCAGGATGTAGAACACTCCCGCCACGTTACTCAGACTCAGAGCACTCGTCTTGTCCTGCCACCACCAGCATCAGAAGGACCAGGATGTAGAACACTCCCGCCACGTTACTCAGACTCAGCGCACTCGTCTTGTCCTGCCATCATCATCAGAAGGACCAGGATGTAGAACACTCCCGCCACGTTACTCAGACTCAGAGCACTCGTCTTGTCCTGCCACCACCAGCATCAGAAGGACCAGGATGTAGAACACTCCCGCCACGTTACTCAGACTCAGAGCACTCGTCTTGTCCTGCCACCACCATCATCAGAAGGACCAGGATGTAGAACACTCCCGCCACGTTACTCAGACTCAGAGCACTCGTCTTGTCCTGCCACCACCACCATCAGAAGGACCAGGATGTAGAACACTCCCGCCACGTTACTCAGACTCAGAGCACTCGTCTTGTCCTGCCACCACCAGCATCAGAAGGACCAGGATGTAGAACACTCCCGCCACGTTACTCAGACTCAGAGCACTCGTCTTGTCCTGCCACCACCAGCATCAGAAGGACCAGGATGTAGAACACTCCCGCCACGTTACTCAGACTCAGAGCACTCGTCTTGTCCTGCCACCACCATCATCAGAAGGACCAGGATGTAGAACACTCCCGCCACGTTACTCAGACTCAGAGCACTCGTCTTGTCCTGCCATTATCATCAGAAGAACCAGGATGTAGAACACTCCCGCCACGTTACTCAGACTCAGAGCACTCGTCTTGTCCTGCCACCACCAGCATCAGCAGAATCATCATCAGTAGCATCACCATCATCAGAAGGACCAGGATGTAGAACACTCCCGCCACGTTACTCAGACTCAGAGCACTCGTCTTGTTCTGCCACCACCAGCATCATCAGAATCATCATCAGTAGCATCACCATCATCAGAAGGAGCATGATGTAGAACACTCCCGCCACGTTACTCAGACTCAGAGCACTGGTCTTGTCCTGCCACCACCATCATCAGCAGGGGCAGCAGCAGCATCATCAGCATCATCATCAGTAGCATCACCATCATCAGCAGGGGCAGCAGCAGCATCATCATCAGTAGCATCACCATTATCAGCAGGGGCAGCAGCAGAAGGAGCATCAGAAGGAGCATGATGTAGAACACTCCCGCCACGTTACTCAGACACAGATCACTGGTCTTGTCCTGCCACCACCATCATCATCAGAATCATCATCAGTAGCACCACCATCATCAGAAGGAGCATCAGAAGGACCAGGATGTAGAACACTCCCGCCACGTTACTCAGACTCAGAGCATTGGTCCTGTCCTGCCACCACCAGCACCAGCAGCATCGGTAGCAGTAGCATCATCAGCAGGGGCAGCAGCAGCATCATCATCATCAGAATCATCATCAGGAGCATCACCATCATCAGCAGGGGCAGCAGCAGCATCATCATCAGAATCATCATCAGTAGCATCACCATCATCAGCAGGAGCAGCAGCAGAAGGAGCATCAGAATCATCATCAGTAGCATCACCATCATCAGCAGGAGCAGCAGAAGGAGCAGCAGAAGGAGCAGCAGAATCATCATCAGTAGCATCATCAGTAGCATCACCATCATCAGCAGGAGCAGCAGAAGGAGCATCAGAAGGAGCAACAGAATCATCATCAGTAGCATCATCAGTAGCATCAGCAGGAGCAGCAGAAGGAGCATGAGAAGGAGCAGCAGGAGCAGCAGCATCATCATCAGTAGCATCATCAGCAGGAGCAGCAGAAGGAGCATCAGAAGGAGCAGCATAATCATCATTAGGAGCATCATCATGAGTGTGTACACACGTGTGTGTGTGTACACGTGTATGTGTGTGTGTACACGTGTGTGTGTGTGTGTGTACACGTGTGTGTGTGTAGTCCGGCAAAACAACCCCCTACCACCTCGTGGTGCCGATTGGCCTTTCCCCTCATGGCGTTTGTAACCACCACGGCAGCCAAATGGGGGCTATGGACGGGTGTGAGGAGTTGGTAACCCCTCCACCTTCAATTAATTACCACAAAACCACCACGACAAAATTTACTAAATAAGCTTGTGCCGAAAGGCCCCGGGGGAACAGGTGTCTATGACGTCTCCTGGCCAAACCCCAATTGGCGGAGCGATGAGATTGAATCTCTACCCTCGAGGCTCCTCCAGAAACAACAAAAAAACCACTACGTGTGGCCACGTGGAATGTTCGAACGCTCACTGCGGATGAGAAGCTGCCACTCCTCTGTCGGGAGCTGGACCGGTACTGCCTGGATCTCTGTGGCATTCAGGAGGTCCGGTGGACCGGTTCTGGCTCCTGCCGCCATGAGGGGTGGACAGTCCTCTATTCGGGGCAGCAGACTGCCAAACAACAGGGAGTGGCTCTTCTTCTGAACAAAAGAATGAAGGGGGCGTGGGAGCGTGGCGGTGAGGTGTGGGAAGCTGTAAGCCCCAGGCTACTTTGGGCTCGCCTTCCCATCAACCGGAGGAGAGGAGTGGTGGTCGTGGTTACTTATTCCCCCACTGAAGACTAACATCCGTGGAGGGATGCAGGCAAGGCCGATGAGTCAGATGGCTTATATGACCTCCTGCTAGATTTTTGTGCAACCCATGGGCTTGTAATTATCTAAACGCTGTTCCGGCATCGGTGCATCCACACAACATCATGGATGCATGCCGGGTCCAAGCAAGAACATCTGCTGGACTACATAGTGACGGACCAGCGAATGCGAGCCCATGTCCTTGACACCAGGACCTACCGTGGAGCTGATCTGCCCTCTGACCATGGACTTGTCATCTGTAAGATGCGCCTGCCATTCTTCCACTCCGGTGGTGGGTGTACACCCAGGAACCCATTCCAACCTAAAGTGGCCTGTTCTCAGCTAGCTGATGAAAGTTGCAAACGAGAATTTAATCATCGCTTGCGGCTGGGGTTGGCATCGTCCCCCACTCCTCCTGATGTCGAGGGAAAATGGTCGAGGTTTAGGACTGACTCATACAGCTGCAATAGCTGCTTTGGGTACGCGGTCCAGACCTCCCCAGAGACCCTGGCTGACAGAGGAGGTGTTCAAGCTGGCTGAGAAAAAGCGACAGGCCCACTCTCATCGTCTACAGCATCCCACGTCAGAGAATGAGGAGGCTTACTGCAGCCTTCGCTCGGAGGTTCGGAGAGCTGTGAGGCGCTGCAAGGATGGGTGGTGGTCGCGGGTTGCTGAGGAGATGTAGTCTGCCTCAGTGGCCCGTGATCACAAATTTAACTACATCAAAAAAGTAACCTGCAGCGCCACACCTATTACCATCATTAGGGGAAAGAACGGTGATCCAATCTCCGACCCCCAGGAACACGTTTGGATAACAACGTGGGGCAAAGTGGGGATGACCCTGCTGAGGCTGCGGTGTCTCAAATATTGAAAGAAGTGACCCGCTGTGAGTGGCTGGCTGAGGTGCCATCTATTGAGGAAATACTGAAGGCGATTGAGAGTCTGAGACCAGGAAAGGCAGCAGGCAGAGATGATCTCCCAAGAGAAATGCTGAGGGAGGGTGGCGTTTGCACACAGACTGCCCTATATGACATCATAACAACAGTCTGGACCACTGGACGGGTTCCGCAGGATTACAAGGATGCCCTGGTGGTCCCGCTCTTTAAGAAGGGGGACCGCACAAACTGTAACAAGTACAGGGGCATCTCACTCCTCAGTGTGCCGGGAAAGGTGCTGGCAAGGATAATTCAGCATCGCCTTGCCAGGCACGCTGAGGAGAGGTTTGCGGAGCCCCAATGCGGTTTCAGGAAAGGGCGGTCCTACACAGATGCCATATTTTCTGTCTGTCTGCTACAGCAGAGGTGCAGGGAATTCCAACAAGACCTGCATCTCTGCTTTATTGACCTGGTAAAGGCCGATGATACCATCAGTAGGCCTGGGCTCTGGGTTGTTCTTCGTGCTTTCGGAGTCCCTGACCCGCTGCTCACGATCATTAAGGACCTTCATGATGGTGAGCAGGTCCAGGTAAGACTACATGGCCGGGAGTCGGAGCTATTCCCTGTACACCTTAGGGTGCGACAGGGATGTCCTTTGGCTCACACATTATTTGATATCTATTTCCACCATGTAGTTCGTAAAGCCTTCAATAGCTGTACCGGAGGAATTTCCATCTGGTACAGTTGCAATGGGATGCTGATCGATGCCCGGGTGCGGTCAAGGGATGGCTCCCTATTGCTCAACCACGTTATGTATGCTGATGATTTGGTAATAGCTGCTTATGCAGAGGAGGAGTTGGAGACGCTGCTGCTGAGACTGGAGCGTGCCACTAAGAGGTGGGGCCTTACCATCAGCCCCACCAAAACTAAGCACCTGCCTGGGTATTTTGTACCATCGGACACTCCACCCCCACAACTGCCAATCGGTGATGGGGCAGTTGTGGAGAGAGTGGAGAGTTTCCCATACCTGGGCAGTGTGCTTATGACCGGCTCCAGTTTAACAGCAGAGGTCTCACTCCGAATCAATCGAGCGGCAATATCTTTTCATTGGTTGCGTAACCTGGTCTGTCGCTCCGCACTAAGCTTCAGGTCTTCTCGGCCACGGTCATTTCCTCCCTTCTCTACGCTTGCGAAACGTGGACCCCCCTAATGGAACATTTTCGCCGGTTAGAAACATTTAGGCTGGCCTGCCTACGATCCATCCTGGGTTTAACCAGACTGGATTGTGTGAGGAGCTCACAAATCCTTGAAAGATCTGGGCAAGGTCCTATCGGTGAGCTCCTCCGGCGGGCAAGGCTGCGATGGCTGGGTCATGTAGCCCGCATGCCCAGCCACCGCATGCCGAAACAGCTTTTGTTCGGCCGGATCGAGGGTATAACACACACTCTATGTATGTGTGTATGTATAAACACACACTCTATGTATGTGTATGTATGTGTGTATAAACACACACACTATGTACGTGTATAAACACACACACTATGTATGTGTGTATGTGTATAAACACACACACACTATGTATGTGTGTATAAACACACACACTATGTATGTGTGTATGTGTATAAACACACACACTATGTATGTGTATAAACACACACTCTATGTATGTGTATGTGTATAAACACACACACTATGTATGTGTATGTATGTGTGTGTGTATAAACACACACACACACTATGTGCGTATGTATAAACACACACACATACTCTATGTGTGTGTATGTGTTTGTGTGTATGTGTATAAACACACACACACTCTATGTATGTGTATGTATGTGTGTGTATGTATAAACATACACACACATACTCTATGTGTGTGTATGTGTTTGTGTGTGTATGTGTATAAACACACACACACTATGTATGTGTGTATGTTTATAAACACACACACTATGTATGTGTGTGTGTATAAACACACACACTATGTATGTGTATAAACACACACTCTATGTATGTGTGTATGTGTATAAACACACACTCTATGTATGTGTATGTATGTGTGTGTATAAACACACACACACTATGTATGTGTGTGTGTATAAACACACACACACTATGTATGTGTGTATGTATAAACACACACACACACTATGTATGTATGTATAAACACACACACTATGTGTGTATGTATAAACACACACACACACTATGTGTGTATGTATAAACACACACACACTATATGTGTATGTATAAACACACACACACACTATGTGTGTATGTATAAACACACACACACTATGTGTGTATGTATAAACACACACACACTATGTGTGTATGTATAAACACACACACACTATGTGTGTATGTATAAACACACACACACACTATGTGTGTATGTATAAACACACACACACTGTGTGTATGTATAAACACACACACACACACTATGTATGTATAAACACACACACACTATGTATGTATAAACACACACACACTGTGTGTATGTATAAACACACACACACACATACACACTATGTGTGTATGTATAAACACACACACACACGCGCGCACACTTTCTGTTTGCTGAGTTCAGCACTGATCCCCACAGGACCCCGGCAGCCCATGCAGAGCAATTAGCCTGGCACACAGCGACAAGCCCAGAGGGAGCACAGAGAGAGAGGGGGGGAGAGGGGGAGAGGGGGGGGAGAGGGGGGAGAGGGAGGGGGAGAGGGGAGAGGAGAGAGGGAGGAGAGAGGGGGAGAGAGAGGGGAGAGGGGGAAGAGGGGGGAGAGGAAAGAGGGGGGAGAGGGGGTAGAGGGAGAGGGGGGGAGAGAGAGAGAGAGGGGGGTAGAGAGAGGGGGGGGGGGGGTAGAGAGAGAGGGGGGTAGAGAGAGAGAGGGGGGGGTAGAGAGAGAGGGGGGGGTAGAGAAAGAGGGGGGTAGAGAGAGGGGGGGTAGAGAGAGGGCGGGGGGGTAGAGAGAGAGAGAGGGGGGTAGAGAGAGGGGGGGGTAGAGAGAGGGGGGGGGGGGTAGAGAGAGAGAGGGGGGGTAGAGAGAGGGGGGGTAGAGAGAGAGGGGGTAGAGAGAGAGGGGGTAGAGAGAGAGGGGGGGGGTAGAGAGAGGGGGTAGAGAGAGGGGGGTAGAGAGAGAGGGGGGGGTGGTAGAGAGAGAGGGGGGGATGGGGTAAGAAGGAGGAGACTAGAGCGTGAAATCTTTCATTTAAACAGGGGAGGAGGGGGGGGGGTTACATAAAGAAAAGCATGAAAAACAAAAAAACGAAATGATGAGCGGAGCAAAGTGCCGACTACACCGAGCATCTTCTCGTTTCCTCTGATCGTAAAAAAAGAGAGAGAGGGAGAGAGGGGGAAGTGATAATGACATGGGGTGGTGGTGATGGTGGTGGTGGTGATGGTGGTGATGGTGGTGGTGATGGTGGTGGTGATGGTGGTGGTGATGGTGCTGGTGATGGTGGTGATGATGGTGATGGTGAAGATGTTAGTGGTGATGGTGGTGATGGTGATGTTAGTGGTGATGGTGGTGATGGTGATGTTAGTGGTGATGCTGGTGATGGTGATGTTAGTGGTGATGGTGGTGATGGTGATGTTAGTGGTGATGCTGGTGATGGTGATGTTAGTGGTGATGGTGGTGATGGTGGTGGTGATGGTGGTGGTGATGGTGGTGATGGTGCTGGTGGTGATGGTGGTGGTGATGGTGGTGATGGTGGTGGTGATGGTGGTGATGGTGATGTTAGTGGTGATGGTGGTGATGGTGATGTTACCTTGGAGTCACCACCACCACTCCCACACTCCCCCTTGTCGTACCACCATTTATTCTTCAGCTTGTCCAGGAGGCCCTGCTCGTTGAGCTTCAACACGGCCAAGTTCACCGCGTTTCTACATTAACAACAACATCAACAACATCAACAACAACATCAACAACATCATCATCAACATCATCATCAACATCAACAACATCAACAACAACATTATCATCATCAACATCATCATCAACAACATCATCATCAACATCATCATTAACAACATCAACAACATCATCAACATCATCAACACCTGGGTAGCGGTGTTGAGTCTATGGGCAGTGTTAAGTCTATGGTGTAGTGTTGAGTCTATGGTGCAGTGTTGAGTCTATGGTGCAGTGTTGAGTCTATGGTGCAGTGTTGAGTCTATGGGCAGTGTAGAGTCTATGGGCAGTGTTGAGTCTATGGTGCAGTGTTGAGTCTATGGTGGAGTATTGAGTCTATGGGCAGTGTTGAGTCTATGGTGCAGTGTTGAGTCTATGGGCAGTGTTGAGTCTATGGTGCAGTGTTGAGTCTATGGTGCAGTGTAGAGTCTATGGTGCAGTGTTGAGTCTATGGGCAGTGTTGAGTCTATGGTGCAGTGCTGAGTCTATGGTGCAGTGTTGAGTCTATGGGCAGTGTTGAGTCTATGGTACAGTATTGAGTCTATGGTGCAGTATTGAGTCTATGGTGCAGTGTTGAGTCTATGGGCAGTGTTGAGTCTATGGTGCAGTGCTGAGTCTATGGTGCAGTGTTGAGTCTATGGTGCAGTGCTGAGTCTATGGTGCAGTGTTGAGTCTATGGGCAGTGTTGAGTCTATGGTGCAGTGTTGAATCTATGGTGCAGTGTTGAGTCTATGGGCAGTGTTGAGTTTATGGGCAGTGTTGAGTCTATGGGCAGTGTTGAGTCTATGGGCAGTGTTGAGTCTATGGGCAGTGTTGAGTCCATGAGCAGTGTTGAGTCTATGGTGCAGTGTTGAGTCTATGGGCAGTGTTGAGTCTATGGGCAGTGTTGAGTCTATGGTGCAGTGCTGAGTCTATGGGCAGTGTTGAGTCTATGGTGCAGTGCTGAGTCTATGGTGCAGTGTTGAGTCTATGGTGCAGTATTGAGTCTATGGTGCAGTGTTGAGTCTATGGGCAGTGTTGAGTCTATGGTGCAGTGTTGAATCTATGGTGCAGTGTTGAGTCTATGGGCAGTGTTGAGTTTATGGGCAGTGTTGAGTCTATGGGCAGTGTTGAGTCTATGGGCAGTGTTGAGTCTATGGGCAGTGTTGAGTCTATGAGCAGTGTTGAGTCTATGGTGCAGTGTTGAGTCTATGGGCAGTGTTGAGTCTATGGGCAGTGTTGAGTCTATGGTGCAGTGCTGAGTCTATGGTGCAGTGTTGAGTCTATGGTGCAGTGCTGAGTCTATGGTGCAGTGTTGAGTCTATGGGCAGTGTTGAGTCTATGGGCAGTGTTGAGTCTATGGTGCAGTGTAGAGTCTATGGACAGTGTTGAGTCTATGGGCAGTGTCGAATCTATGGGCAGTGTTGAGTCTATGGTGCAGTATTGAATCTATGGTGCAGTGCTGAGTCTACGGTGCAGTGTTGAGTCTATGTTGCAGTGCTGAGTCTATGGTGCAGTGTTGAGTATATGGGCAGTGTTGAGTCTATGGTGCAGTGTTGAGTCTATGGTGCAGTGTTGAGTCTATGGGCAGTGTTGAGTCTATGGTGCAGTGCTGAGTCTATGGTGCAGTGTTGAGTCTATGGTGCAGTGCTGAGTCTATGGTGCAGTGTTGAGTCTATGGGCAGTGTTAAGTCTTGGTGCAGTGTTGAATCTATGGTGCAGTGTTGAGTCTATGGGCAGTGTTGAGTCTATGGTGCAGTGTTGAGTCTATGGTGCAGTGTTGAGTCTATGGGCAGTGTTGAGTCTATGGTGCAGTGTTGAGTCTATGGTGCAGTGTTGAGTCTATGGTGCAGTGTTGAGTCTATGGGCAGTGTTGAGTCTATGGTGCAGTGTTGAGTCTATGGTGCAGTGTTGAGTCTATGGGCAGTGCTAGATGTGAAGCTTTCATGACTGCAAGGATCCATACTCTTTGGTTCTATTCGGTAAAGTCACGTAGGTAAAAAATAAAACAACAAAAATCATGACGTTTCGGCCACAACACAAGCGGCCTTCATCAGGTGAAGGGACCCCAGACTGTCTAGAGGACAGCGCTGGAGTGAAACACGGCCAAGCTCAGACCGCGACCTTTAAGCTGTGTGAGAGGAATTAAGGTGCCTTGACAAAGGAATTAGCATCAAAATTTGCATTTTAATAGGCGGACTTAGCATGATGAAAGGTAGGGAGGGGGTCCACCTGTGCAGGCTGGCGAGGCATGCTGGTGGTGTGAAAAGGGGATTTTAAGAAGCTGCGAAAGTTTGGGGTACCACTACTTGAAAAATATACTGTACCATTGAAAAATAGTTTAATGTTTGGTTCGATTTAGAACATCTTTCCAATGGTTGCTTAATTTGAAACCATCTTCTCGGTTGAAATTGTCTCCGTGTTTGTAGATCTGAATTGCCTCGTGAACAAATCTCTGTGATAAAAACCCGTGGGTTTGCAAAGAACCTTGGTATCGGAGAAAATTACATCGTGATCACCCACAGCGTTGTAACAGTGATCAGCTACGGCAGAAGAATTCGTTCTGCCGTGTTTCAAATCTGATTTGTGCTCGCGAATTCGGTCAGAGACATGTCGCTTCGTCTCCCCGATATAGCAATCACCGCAGGTACAACTCAATTTGTAAACCCCGGGGTACTGTAAGTCAGGAATGACATCCTTCACGGATGGGATCAGATCACGAATTTTGTGTACTCTATTGAACCGGACCTGGATCTTTTTTGTTTAGAATTTTGGAAATCTTTTTAGTAACGCCTGCTATATATGGTAGTGTGATGGTTTTGACCGGAGTATCAAGTGGTTGTTTCTGTATGTAGGGAGAAACAGCTTGGCGGATGGTACTGTCAGAGTATCCATTCCTTTTGAGGGCCAGGTGTACACGTTTTAATTCACTGGTCAGGTGGTGTTGGTCCGAAATGCAATGAGCCCATATGGTATAAAGTTTTGATGAGAGAATTCTTCTGAGCTGGGTGGTGGTGCGAATCAGGCTTCAAGTAGGAATCCGTGTGGGTGGGTTTCCTGTAGACAGAATGCCCCAACGAGCCATCAGGTCTCCTCTCAAACAGAACATCCAAGAATGGTAGCCTGCCATCCTTCTCCACTTCCATGGTGAATTTGATGGCGGGATGTCTGGAATTGATGTGGTGTAGGAAAAGGTTCAGAGCTGGGAGGCCATGTGGCCAAATGACGAAAGTGTCATCCACATATCTCTTCCACAGGGAAGGTCTGAGGGTGGAAGTCTGGATGGCTTCTGATTCAAATTTCTCCATGAAAACATTGGCTATCACTGGTGATAAGGGGGATCCCATGGGGGTACCCTAATTTTGTTTGTAGAAGGAGCCATTCCAAGTAAAGTAGGTGTTGGTGAGGCAGTGCCTGACCAGCGTAGGTACCTCGGGGTTTAGTCCATGTTGTACCAAATTTTCAATTATATCAATAGTATCAGGTACCGGGACCTTGGTGAACAAGGAGACCACATCGAAGCTGACAAGGATATCGTCAGGGGACAGAACAACGTCCTTGACCATATAAACCAATTGGGCAGAGTTAAGTACTGCTGAGGAGGTCTTGCCAGGGAAAGGTAGCAAGGTATCCGACAGAAAACGTGCCAGCTTATAGGTAGGGGAGTTGATCGTGGATACGATGGGTTGTAGTGGAGTTCCTTCCTTATGAATCTTTGGAAGACCATAGAATCTAGGTGGTCTTGCAGCAGAAGGTTTTAGGGAGGGATGTTTAGTTTGTTCGATTAGGGGGGTCAAACTTGTGATGATCTTGTTGGTTTTTATAGTTAGGCTATTATTAGGGTCATTTTTTATTTTTGAGTAACTACCATCATTGAGTAGGTCCTGAATTTTATTGTTGTATGAGTTTTTATCCATAATTACGGTGGCATTGCCCTTGTCGGCTGAGAGGATGACTATATCATGTCTCTCTTTTAATTTCACGAGTTCAGAGCGTTCATCTTTGCTGATGTTGCTAATGGGTTTCTTAGCATTCTTAAGAATAGTAGCTATTTCAGCTCTCGCGACGTCTGCTTGGATGTGTCCTATACGTTTGAGGGCTACATAGACCTGAGAAATGATATCATCTATCGGTATATGTTTTGGGGTGACAGGGAAATTCAGTCCTTTAACCAATACTGTTTTCAGATTGTCCGAAATCAGGGTGCCACTCTGATTGATAACAATTTTGTTAACATCTAGTTTAGTGATCTGTGGAACCGGGTTTTTCTTTGATAGGTGGTTGAATGTAGCAATTAGGTTAGCTTTGCATTTGATTGAAAATGAATCGGCAGAAGAAGCAGTCATGTTGTCTACGTGGTTCCAATCAGAAGGTGACATTTTTTGTGTTAACGTTAAATGAGCTTGTAGGAGAGTCCTGTCTAAATTGCCGAGTTCAAAACGGAGTAGTCTTATCATCTCTGAGATTAAAGAGAGGCTGGCCTTAAACAAAATCTGTTTAGAATTCGGTGAGGACACAGCAGCAGAAGTGAGTGTGAAGGCGATGGGTATTACCTTGTGGTCTATGGGCAGTGTTGAGTCTATGGGTAGTGTTGAGTCTATGGTGCAGTGTTGAGTCTATGGGCAGTGTTGAGTCTATGGTGCAGTGTTGAGTCTATGGTGCAGTGTTAAGTCTATGGTGCAGTGCTGAGTCTATGGTGCAGTGCTGAGTCTATGGTGCAGTGTTGAGTCTATGGGCAGTGTTGAGTCTATGGGCAGTGTTGAGTCTATGGTGCAGTGTTGAGTCTATGGTGCAATGTTGAGTCTATGGTGCAGTGTTGAGTTTATGGTGCAGTGTTGAGTCTATGGTGCAGTGCTGACTCTATGGTGCAGTGTTGAGTCTGTGGTGCAGTGTTGAGTCTATGGGCAGTGTTGAGTCTATAGTGCAGTGTTGAGTTTATGGGCAGTGTTGAGTCTATGGTGCAGTGCTGAGTCTATGGGCAGTGTTGAGTCTATGGTGCAGTGCTGAGTCTATGGTGCATTGCTGAGTCTATGGGCAGTGTTGAGTCTATGGTGCAGTGCTGAGTCTATGGTGCAGTGTTGAGTCTATGGGCAGTGTTGAGTCTGTGGTGCAGTGCTGAGTCTACGGTGCATTGCTGAGTCTATGGGCAGTGTTGAGTCTATTCTGCAGTGCTGAGTCTATGGTGCAGTGTTGAGTCTATGGGCAGTGTTGAGTCTGTGGTGCAGTGCTGAGTCTATGGGCAGTGTTGAGTCTGTGGTGCAGTGCTGAGTCTATGGTGCAGTGTTGAGTCTATGGTGCAGTGTTGAGTCCATGGTGCAGTGGTGAGTCTATGGTGCAGTGTTGAGTCTATGGTGCAGTGCTGAGTCTATGGGCAGTGTTGAGTCTATGGTGCAGTGCTGAGTCTATGGTGCAGTGTTGAGTCTATGGTACAGTGGTGAGTCTATGGTGTAGTGTTGAGTCTATGGTGCAGTGCTGAGTCTATGGTGCAGTGTTGAGTCTATGGTGCATTGCTGAGTCTATGGGCAGTGCTAAGTCTATGGTGCAGTGTTGAGTCTATGGTGTAGTGTTGAGTCTATGGGCAGTGTTGAGTCTATGGTGCAGTGCTGAGTCTATGGTGCAGTGTTGAGTCTATGGTGCAGTGTTGAGTCTATGGTGCAGTGTTGAGTCTATGGTGCAGTGTTGAGTCTGTGGTGCAGTGCTGAGTCTATGGGCAGTGTTGAGTCTATGGTGCATTGCTGAGTTTATGGTGCAGTGTTGAGTCTATGGTGCAGTGCTGAGTCTATGGTGCAGTGTTGAGTCTATGGTGCATTGCTGAGTCTATTGTGCAGTGCTGAGTCTATGGTGCAGTGTTGAGTCTATGGGCAGTGTTGAGTCTATGGTGCAGTGCTGAGTCTATGGTGCAGTGTTGACTCTATGGTGCAGTGTTGAGTCTATGGTGCAGTGTTGAGTCTACGGTGCAGTGTTGAGTCTATGGGCAGTGTTGAGTCTATGGGCAGTGTTGAGTCTATGGTGCAGTGTTGAGTCTGTGGTGCAGTGTTGAGTCTATGGGCAGTGTTGAGTCTATAGTGCAGTGTTGAGTCTATGGGCAGTGTTGAGTCTATGGTGCAGTGCTGAGTCTATGGGCAGTGTTGAGTCTATGGTGCAGTGCTGAGTCTATGGTGCATTGCTGAGTCTATGGGCAGTGATGAGTCTATGGTGCAGTGCTGAGTCTATGGTGCAGTGTTGAGTCTATGGGCAGTGTTGAGTCTGTGGTGCAGTGCTGAGTCTACGGTGCATTGCTGAGTCTATGGGCAGTGTTGAGTCTATTCTGCAGTGCTGAGTCTATGGTGCAGTGTTGAGTCTATGGGCAGTGTTGAGTCTGTGGTGCAGTGCTGAGTCTATGGGCAGTGTTGAGTCTGTGGTGCAGTGCTGAGTCTATGGTGCAGTGTTGAGTCTATGGTGCAGTGTTGAGTCTATGGTGCAGTGGTGAGTCTATGGTGCAGTGTTGCGTCTATGGTGCAGTGCTGAGTCTATGGGCAGTGTTGAGTCTATGGTGCAGTGCTGAGTCTATGGTGCAGTGTTGAGTCTATGGTGCAGTGCTGAGTCTATGGTGCAGTGTTGAGTCTATGGTGCAGTGCTGAGTCTATGGTGCAGTGTTGAGTCTATGGTGCATTGCTGAGTCTATGGGCAGTGCTAAGTCTATGGTGCAGTGTTGAGTCTATGGTGTAGTGTTGAGTCTATGGGCAGTGTTGAGTCTATGGTGCAGTGTTGAGTCTATGGTGCAGTGTTGAGTCTATGGTGCAGTGTTGAGTCTATGGTGCAGTGTTGAGTCTATGGTGCAGTGTTGAGTCTGTGGTGCAGTGGTGAGTCTATGGGCAGTGTTGAGTCTATGGTGCATTGCTGAGTCTATGGTGCAGTGTTGAGTCTATGGTGCAGTGCTGAGTCTATGGTGCAGTGTTGAGTCTATGGTGCAGTGTTGAGTCTATGGTGCAGTGTTGAGTCTATGGTGCATTGCTGAGTCTATTGTGCAGTGCTGAGTCTATGGTGCAGTGTTGAGTCTATGGTGTAGTGTTGAGTCTATGGGCAGTGTTGAGTCTATGGTGCAGTGTTGAGTCTATGGTGCAGTGTTGAGTCTATGGTGCAGTGTTGAGTCTACGGTGCAGTGTTGAGTCTACGGTGCAGTGTTGAGTCTATGGGCAGTGTTGAGTCTATGGGCAGTGTTGAGTCTATGGTGCAGTGTTGAGTCTGTGGTGCAGTGCTGAGTCTATGGTGCAGTGCTGAGTCTATGGTGCAGTGTTGAGTCTGTGGTGCAGTGTTGAGTCTATGGGCAGTGTTGAGTCTATGGTGCATTGCTGAGTCTATGGGCAGTGTTGAGTCTATGGTGCAGTGCTGAGTCTATGGTGCAGTGTTGAGTCTATGGTGCATTGCTGAGTCTATGGTGCAGTGTTGAGTCTATGGTGCAGTGCTGAGTCTATGGTGCAGTGTTGAGTCTATGGTGCAGTGCTGAGTCTATGGTGCAGTGTTGAGTCTATGGTGCAGTGTTGAGTCTATGGTGCAGTGTTGAGTCTATGGTGCAGTGTTGAGTCTATGGTGCAGTGTTGAATCTATGGTGCAGTGCTGAGTCTATGGTGCAGTGTTGAGTCTATGGTGCAGTGTTGAGTCTATGGTTCAGTGTTGAGTCTATGGTGCAGTGCTGAGTCTATGGTGCAGTGTTGAGTCTATGGTGCAGTGCTGAGTCTATGGTGCAGTGTTGAGTCTATGGTGCAGTGTTGAGTCTATGGTGCAGTGTTGAGTCTATGGTGCAGTGTTGAGTCTATGGTGCAGTGTTGAATCTATGGTGCAGTGCTGAGTCTATGGTGCAGTGTTGAGTCTATGGTGCAGTGTTGAGTCTATGGTGCAGTGTTGAGTCTATGGTGCATTGCTGAGTCTATGGTGCAGTGTTGAGTCTATGGTGCAGTGCTGAGTCTATGGTGCAGTGTTGAGTCTATGGTGCAGTGTTGAGTCTATGGTGCAGTGTTGAGTCTATGGTGCAGTGTTGAGTCTATGGTGCAGTGTTGAGTCTATGGTGCAGTGCTGAGTCTATGGGCAATGTTGAGTCTATGGGCAGTGTTGAGTCTATGGTGCAGTGTTGAGTCTATGGTGCAGTGCTGAGTCTATGGTGCAGTGTTGAGTCTATGGTGCAGTGCTGAGTCTGTGGTGCAGTGCTGAGTCTATGGTGCAGTGTTGAGTCTATGGTGCAGTGTTGAGTCTATGGTGCAGTGGTGAGTCTATGGTGCAGTGTTGCGTCTATGGTGCAGTGCTGAGTCTATGGGCAGTGTTGAGTCTATGGTGCAGTGCTGAGTCTATGGTGCAGTGTTGAGTCTATGGTGCAGTGCTGAGTCTATGGTGCAGTGTTGAGTCTATGGTGCAGTGCTGAGTCTATGGTGCAGTGTTGAGTCTATGGTGCATTGCTGAGTCTATGGGCAGTGCTAAGTCTATGGTGCAGTGTTGAGTCTATGGTGTAGTGTTGAGTCTATGGGCAGTGTTGAGTCTATGGTGCAGTGCTGAGTCTATGGTGCAGTGTTGAGTCTATGGTGCAGTGTTGAGTCTATGGTGCAGTGTTGAGTCTATGGTGCAGTGTTGAGTCTGTGGTGCAGTGGTGAGTCTATGGGCAGTGTTGAGTCTATGGTGCATTGCTGAGTCTATGGTGCAGTGTTGAGTCTATGGTGCAGTGCTGAGTCTATGGTGCAGTGTTGAGTCTATGGTGCAGTGCTGAGTCTATGGTGCAGTGTTGAGTCTATGGTGCATTGCTGAGTCTATTGTGCAGTGCTGAGTCTATGGTGCAGTGTTGAGTCTATGGTGTAGTGTTGAGTCTATGGGCAGTGTTGAGTCTATGGTGCAGTGTTGAGTCTATGGTGCAGTGTTGAGTCTATGGTGCAGTGTTGAGTCTACGGTGCAGTGTTGAGTCTACGGTGCAGTGTTGAGTCTATGGGCAGTGTTGAGTCTATGGGCAGTGTTGAGTCTATGGTGCAGTGTTGAGTCTGTGGTGCAGTGCTGAGTCTATGGTGCAGTGCTGAGTCTATGGTGCAGTGTTGAGTCTGTGGTGCAGTGTTGAGTCTATGGGCAGTGTTGAGTCTATGGTGCATTGCTGAGTCTATGGTGCAGTGTTGAGTCTATGGTGCAGTGCTGAGTCTATGGTGCAGTGTTGAGTCTATGGGCAGTGTTGAGTCTATGGTGCATTGCTGAGTCTATGGTGCAGTGTTGAGTCTATGGTGCAGTGCTGAGTCTATGGTGCAGTGTTGAGTCTATGGGCAATGTTGAGTCTATGGGTCTCTCCGTGCGTTGTTGCGCCAAAGGACGCAGCGCCCAGCACCAGCACCCCGCTACCACCGCGATCACCGCCGCCGCCGCCGCCACCACCACCGTCTCTCACCCGAGGTCGGAGCCCTTGGGCGTGGCGATGCCGTAGCCCTTGGAGTCGAGGTTCCCGCCGACCTTCATGGTGTCGCAGGGTTTGCGCTGCTCGATGTACTCGTTCATGGTGGACTCGAGCAGGTAGGCGTACTTGCCCTTGGACTTGCGCACGCGTGCCACCCCCTCGGGCGTCGTCCTCACGAACACCGTGGGCTCCGCTGACTTCATGTACGACCACATCTTCTCGAAGACCGCCAGCTTGGAGCGCTGTGGTGCCGGGGGTGGGGGGGGGGGGCGGTGGTGGGTGTCGGAGTGGGGGAGTGGGAGATGTTGATCGATGATCAGTCGATCATTTTTTTTTTAATGAGCTAAGTCGTGCTGAGTCTATGGGTAGCAGTGTTGAGTCTATGAGCAATGTTGAGTCTACGGGTCTCTGTGTTGAGTCTATGGGTAGCAGTGCTGAGTCTATAGGTAGCAGTGCTGAGTCTATGGGTAGCAGTTATAAGACTACGGGTAGCAGTGCCAAGTCTACGGGTCTCTGTGTTGAGTCTATGGGTAGCAGTGCTGAGTCTATGGGTAGCAGTTATGAGACTATGGGTAGCAGTCCCAAGTCTACCCGTCTCTGTGTTGAGTCTACGGGTAGCAGTGCCGAGTCTACGGGTCTCTGTGTTGAGTCAACAGGCAGCAGTGCCGAGTCTACGGGTCTCTGTGTTGAGTCAACAGGCAGCAGTGCCGAGTCTACGGGTCTTTTTGTGGAGTCTACGGGTAGCAGTCCCAAGTCTACCCGTCTCTGTGTTGAGTCTACGGGTAGCAGTGCCGAGTCTACGGGTCTCTGTGTTGAGTCTACGGGTAGCAGTGCCGAGTCTACGGGTCTCTGTGTCTATGGGTAGCAGTGCCGAGTCTACGGGTCTCTGTGTTGAGTCTACGGGTCTCTGTGTTGAGTCTACAGGCAGCAGTGCCGAGTCTATGGGTCTCTGTGTTGAGTCTACGGGCAGCAGTGCTGAGTCTACGGGTCTCTGTGTTGAGTTTACGGGTCTCTGTGTTGAGTCTACGGGTAGCAATGCCGAGTCTACAGGTCTCTGTGTTGAGTCTACGGGCAGCAGTGCTGAGTCTACGGGTCTCTGTGTTGAGTTTACGGGTCTCTGTGTTGAGTCTACGGGTAGCAGTGCTGAGTCTACGGGTCTCTGTGTTGAGTCTACGGGTAGCAGTGCCGAGTCTACGGGTCTCCTTGGAAACGGCGGGTGCAGTGCTTGACAGAGTGCTGCCCTACCGACTCTACGGTCCTACTGGGCGACGTCACTGGTCACGTGGGAAACGACGGAGATACCCGGAGAGGCGCGATTGGTTGGAATGGACCCCCTGATCTGAACCTGGACGGTGAGATGCGATCGAAATTCTGCGCTGGTTCACGGAATGCCAGTGGCAAAAAACCACGTGCGAATCGAGATTTGAGGTTTTCGTGACTGCACAGATCCATACTCTTTGGCCCTTTCGGTGGCAAAGTCACGTAGTGGGTATGAAACAAAATAAAATCGAATCACGACGTTTCGGGCGTCACGCAAGCGTCCTTCGTCAGGCGGGGCGGACGCTTGTGTCGCGCCCGAAACGTCGCGATTCGGTCAACGTTATTTCGTTTCACACCCCGCTATGTGACTTTGCTACCGAAAGAACCAACGTGCATACCGCGTGCGAGCACCAGAGCACCTTGAGGCCCGAAGGTCCACGACTAACTTTACCATCGTATTATTGGACCCAAGGCCGTGTGTTCCGGACGCTCGGGCGAAGAGAGGGGGCAGAGCTTTCAACTGATCACCACCTGGTGGCGAGTTGGATCCGACGCTTTTGGGCACCGACCAGATATAGGCGCGGTAGGTCCCGACGGACAGCGCCCGGTTCTCTGGGAACGTCTGGCGGAAGACCCGGCGCAGAAAGATTTCAACGTCCACCTCCGGGAAAACTGCTCTCGCACCACCCCCCCCTCCCCGCCCCGGGGAGAGGCCGTGGACACCGAGTGGACGATGTTCAGGGCCCTCCGAAGCTGCGGCCCCGAAGGGCAGTTGGTCGGCAACCCTGGGGGGGCCCCGCTGGTGGACACCGGTGGCGAGGGAGGCCGCCGGGTGGAAGGGGGCTTGCCGAGCTGCGCCCGATTGAGGGCTGCCGGCTTGCCGAGATGGCGGCGGCGGCGGCGGCGGGAGGAGCAGTCGCTGAAGCGAAAGCCCCCGGGTGGCGTGGGAGGAGTCTGGGGAGGACGTGGAGAGGGACTACCCGGGGCAGCGTCAAAGATGGGCTATGCCCATTATAAACCTTAGAAACAGCATGCCTTTATAGTGGCTTCTCCCCCCAACCCACCACCCCCTTTTTTCCACCTGATGACTGTCGCCCGTGTTGCGATCGAAACGTCGTTTTGCGTTGATGTTTTGAACCCATCGCCGTGACTTTTACTGAAAGACCCAAAAAGAATACGCGTCAACGGTGTTCTATAGGAAAGGCAAAAACAACAAACATCCGAGGCTCTAGGACGGCCCGGGGGGCTGTCCTCGGCAAGGGCGGCGGAGTGACGTTGAACGCGGCCTCAAGAGGCAGTCGCGAGGTGGAAGGAAACACTCCGAGGAGCTCCTCAACCCGGTGGGAGTGCCCTCCTCTCAGGGGGGGCGGCGTCCACCACGGCTGTGGAAGGTCGCTCCGGCGTCGGCTTTACCAGCCGTCTCCCTCCATCTCTCTCCGTGTCACCCAGAAGAACTCCTCGGTGGAGCCCGAGTCGAGCGTGCCCGCAGGCGATCTCCATCTGCCTCCCGCAATCTCCCTCCATCCTGGATTCGAAGCTTTCGTGACTGCAAGGATTCGTACGCTTTGGTTTTTTTTTGGTAAAAGTCACGTGGGTAAAATATCTCCCCTCCATCTCTCTCCATTCTAGATTCGGAGCTTTCGTGACTGCAAGGATTCATGTTTTTTGTTTATTGTAGTACGGAGTTAGACTGATGGCCTTAATCTAAGTTTTCTTGTTGTTGTTGTTGTTTTTGACTTGCATCCCACTGGGATTTTTGCACACAGCGTTGGTGTACGGTGCTATTTCAGGAATATTTTGATGTTTTTTTTCCTGGGTTTTCTGTTTGCACAGGCACACACATAGTCACTTTAAGAAGTTTTTCTTGTTCGTGTTTTTGTTTTTTTGTTTGTTGCGGTTGCACCCAATTCAAGAGCCGAATGGCTCACAGGGGCTACACCCAAATAAATGAAACTATGGAACTATACTCTTTGTTTTTTTCGGTAAAGTCACGTAGGTAAAATATCTCCCACCATCTCCCTCCCCACCCACCCCGACCCCCCCCACCGTCTCACCCTGAAGAACTCCTTGGTGGAGCCCGAGTCGAGCGTGCCGTAGGCGATCTCCATCTGCTTGGCGAGGTCCTCGGCGCTCTCGATGGGTGACACCATGCGCTCGACGGTGAGGAAGGCGGCCAGGTTGGCCGTGTACGACGAGATGATGATGAGGGTGAAGAACCACCACACGCCACCCACGATGCGGCCCGGCAGGGACCTGGGCCAAGCGGCAAGGAGCGCGGGGCGGGCGGGGTGTGTGGGTGGGTGTGGGTGGGTGGGTGTGTGGGTGGGTGTGTGGGTGGGTGTGTGGGTGTGTGGGTGGGTGTGTGGGTGGGTGTGGGTGGGTGTGTGGGTGGGTGTGTGGGTGGGTGGGTGGGTGTGTGGGTGGGTGGGTGTGTGGGTGTGTGGGTGTGTGTGTGTGTGGGTGGGTGTGTGGGTGTGCGAGCAGATGGTTGTGTGGTTGGGTGTGTGGGTGGATGTGTGGGTGGGTGTGTGGGCAGGTGTGGGTGGGTGTGTGGGCAGGTGTGTGGGTGCGTGTGTGGGTGTGTGAGCGGGCGGTTGTGTGGTTGGGTGTGTGGGTGGATGTGTGGGTGGGTGCGTGGGCAGGTGTGTGGGTGCGTGTGTGGGTGTGTGAACGGGCGGTTGTGTGGTTAGGTGTGTGGGTGGGTGTGTGGGTGTGTCGACGAGCGGAAGACGAATGGACGAATTGATGGACGGACGGATTGATGGAGGGGTTGATTTATCGACGGAATGATGGATGGATGGCCAGATTAATGGATGGATTAATGGACGGATTTATGATGGATTGATGGATGGACGGATTGATGGATGGATTGATGGACGGATTAATGGACGGATTGATGGACGGATTAATATATGGATTGATGGATGGATGAATTTATCCACAGATTGATGGACGGATGAATAAATGGATTGATGGATGGATTCATGGATGAATTGATTGACAGATTAATGGATGATGAATAAACGGACGCGTGGACAGATAAGACGGCCCGGTGTTGGAAAGAATGAGAGGCAAATGGACGGGGAGATTGACAGATTGACACGCAGACGGGAACGTTTACACACAGCCAGATGGCTCGACCAATTGATGAGACACACACAAATAAGATCGATGGGCAGAATGTGTCGACGGACAGACACGGAGAGAGATGGACAGGAGGGAGGAACCGGATGGAAAAACAGACGGACAGGATTGTGGATTGACGGACAGGACGAATGAACCTGAAGATGGATTGATGGACAGACGGAAGGGTGGATGGATGACTTTATTCAAGGACAGAGAGGCAGATGTACAAGTGGATGGCATGGACCAATGGGGGATAGACGGATGGACGGGCAGACGGTTGGATGGAAATACGGACGAACAGAAGGACCGATGGTCAAATGGAGATTCAGTTGGACGGATCGGGACGGGGTAGGACATATGAAAAGACGTCTAGACATACAGAAGGGCCAGGATGGACGGAGAGACGGCGAGGCCAGTGGACGGTTCGATGTGCGGACAGAGAGATGGGCATCGTGGGCGGATTGATGGGTGGATGGACTGGGACAGGCGGACAGATGGACGGACGAGACGACTACGGACAGATGGGCAGACAAATAGACACAGGCGGACGGAACGTGCGGCGTTGTAACACGCAACGCTGTAACGGTGAACGCTGTAACGTGTAACGTCGTAATACAAAACGTCGTAACACAAAACGTCGTAACACAAAACGTCGTAACACAAAACGTCGTAACGTGGAGCGTAGAGCGGAACGTTGCTGCGACGCGGAACGTGCGCCGTTCTAACGCAGCTCGCGAGCGGTCAGCGGCGAACCCCTCTGTTTTGAGCGGCACGGTGCGGTACGGGTAACGCGGAGTGATTCCACGGCACGGTGGCGCGGCGTGCCCTCGGTTATCTGTCCCCCCCCTGGCCGTGGTATGCAGAGTTAGCAGAAGTAGTGCATCGGTACGGTTATCGTTATTGCATCGCAAGTGGGGGGAGGGGGGGGAAAGAATCGCTTTCGCTCTAAATGCGTTTCACTCTCTTAACGAGGAACTTTTCACGAGCGCATCATCACTACTACAGCTACTACTACCAGCAGCGCGGTAATCGAGGACTCGCTCGATCACCGTTCTTGAGCGGCTGTCGGAATGAAGTGGCCCCCCCACAAACTAATCGTGAAATGATTCACGATTAGTTTCTGATTCACGATCATCGTCGGTGTGAATCTATAGATCTCTGTGCGAGTCTACGGGTTCTCTATGCGAGTCTATGGGTCTCTATGTGAGTCTATAGATCTCTGTGTGAGTCTACGGGTCTCTAGTTGAGTCTATAGATCTCTGTGTGAGTCTATGGGTCTCTGTGTAAGTGTGTGGGCCTCTGTGTGAATCTATAGATCTCTGTGTGAGTCTATGGGTCTCTATGTGAGTCTATGGGCCTCGGTGTGAGACTACGGGGTCTCTATGCGAGTCTATGGGCCTCTGTGTGAGTCTATAGATCTCTGTATGAGTCTACGGGTCTCTATGTGAGTCTATAAATCTCTGTGTGAGTCTACGGGTCTCTACGTGAGTCCATGTGCCTCTGAGTCTATGGGTCTCTATGTGAGTCTATGGGCCTCTGTGTGAGTCTATAGACCTCTGTGTGAGTCTACGGGTCTCTATGTGAGTTTACGGGTCTCTACGTGAGTCTATGTGCCTCTGAGTCTATGGGTCTCTATGTGAGTCTATGTGCCTCTGTGTGAGTCTACGGGTCTCTGTGTGAGTCTATGGGCCTATGTGTGAATCTACAGATCTCTGTGTGAGTCTATGGAGTATAAATACATTCATGTTACTGATTCTGATATTTGTGCATCCCCGAAAGCACTAGAAATCATCGGCAAGGAACCCCCCAACATCACCATCACAACCATCACCACCATCACCACCGCCACCACTCACAACAACCGACATTCGCCACTAAGTGGCGGTGACATCACGACGGCGCTTGTGCCAGGCTACGTGCACGTTAAGGCCACGTGAAGTGTCGAACGCCCGCTGGCAGGAGGTCACGGGGCAGACCCAGTATGCCACGGGTCGACTGACGAAGATGACTGAGATGAGTGGCTGATGCACCACCTGTGCCCCCTACTGTGCCAACCTGCTGTGCTTTAGCCACCCGGCGCTATGCTCGTTGTTGTGAGCGTCGCTCCTCACCCCTCCAACTGCCCAATAGCGTCCTTCACGAGCCTCCTCCATAGAGGCCGATCTTGACACCACTGGTACTGTACCGGTCATTGGCAAGTCCACTCAGCTCCACATCCTCTTGTACCACGTCACTCCATCTCTTCTCTAGCCCATGCCACGCCCGTTTAGCCCCCTCTATCCAGCCGAACAAAAGCTGTTTCGGCATGCGGTGGCTGGGCATGCGGGCTACATGACCCAGCCAACGCAGCCTTGCCTGCCGGAGGAGTTCACCGTATGGGACTTTGTCCAGACCTTTCAAGGATTTGTGAGCTCCTCACACAATCCAGTCTGGTTAAACCCAGGATGGATCGTAGGCTCGTCAAAATGTTTCTAACTTGCGAAGATGTTCCATTAGGGGGGTCCACGTGTCGCAAGCACAGAGAAGGGAGGGCATGACCATGGCCGAGAAGACCTGCATCTTCATGTGAAGTGACAGACCAGGTAGCTTCCACACAGTATTACGCAGCCGATCAAAAGATAATATCACTCGACTGATTTGGAGCGAGACATCTGCTGTCAAACCAAAGCCAGTCATGAGCACACTGTCCGGGTATGGAAAACTCTCCACTCTCTCCACAACTGCCCCATCAACAATTGGAAGTTGTGGGGGTGGAGTGTCTGATGGCACCAAATACTCAGGCAGGTGCTTAGTTTTGGTGGGGCTGATGGTAAGGCCCCACCTCTTAGTGGCACGCTCCAAGTTCAGCAGCAGCGTCTCCAACTCCTCCTCTGAGTGAGCAGTAATCACCAAATCATCTGCATACATAACGTGGTTGAGCAATAGGGAGCCATCCCTTGACCGCACCTGGGCATTAATCAGCCTCCCATTTTATCTGTACCAGATGGAGTTCCTCTGGTAAGCCATCGAAGGCTTCACAAACTACGTGAATTAAATAGATGTTAAATAATGTGGGAGCCAGAGGACATCCCTGTCGCACCCCAAGGTGTACAGGGAATGGCTCTGACTCCCGGCCACGTAGTTTTACCCGGGCCCGCTCACCATCATGAAGGTCCTTAATGATCGTGAGAAGAGAGTCAGGGACTCCAAAAGCACGACGAACAACACAGAGCCGATGCATACTGATGGCATCATAGGCCTTGACCAGGTCAATAAAGCAGAGATGTAGGTTTTGTTGGAATTCCCTACACCTCTGCTGTAGCAGACAGAAATAAAATATGGCATCTGTGCAGGACCGCCCTTTTCAGAAACCGCATTGGGGCTCCGCAAGCCTCTCCTCAGCGTGCCTGGCAAGGCGATGTTGAATAATCCTTGCCAGACTGTTATGATGTCATGTAGGGCAGTCTGCGCACAAATGCCACCCGCCCTCAGCATCTCTCCCTGGCAGCCTCAGCAGGGTCATCCCCACTTTGACCCACGATGTCTTCCAGGCTAAGGGATTTCTGCTCCCCCAAGACCTCACAGAAATGTTCAGCAAATCTGCAAACCTGTTCCTGGGGGTCAGAGATCGGATCAACTTTCTTTCTTAATGTTGGTGATAGGTGTGGTGCTACACGTACATTTTTGATAGAGTTAAAGAGTGATTTTTGATCGTGGGTTTCTGAGGCAGACTCCATCTCCTCAGCAACTTGCGACCACCATCCATCCTTGCCATAAGCCTCTTCATTCTCTGACGTTGGATGCTGTAGATGGTGAGAGTGGGCCTGTCGCTTTTTCTCAGCCAGCCGGAACGCCTTTTCCGTCAGCCAGGGTCTCTGGGGAGGTCTGGACCATGTACCCAAAGCAGCCATTGCAGCTGCATGAGCCACAGTACTAAACCTCGCCCATTTCCCCTCGACATCAAGAGGCGTGGGGGACGATAGCAACCCCAGCTGCAAGCAATGATGAAATTCTCACTTGCAACTTTCATCAGCTAGCTGAGAACAGGCCACTGTGAGTTTGAATGGGGTCCTGGGTTTACACCCACCACCGGAGTGGAGGAATGGCAGGCGCATCTTACAGATGACTAGTCGATGGTCAGAGGGCAG